TCACCTGATAGTAGTTTTTTGTGAATCGCGTTGAATAAAAAGAGGATAAATCGCATTTCAAAGACACTTTTTTTATAATACATACGCCCATAAGGTTTGAAAATATTGTTTGAACTGTAGAAATTGTGTAGTTTTCCAAAAGTTTGTAAGGACAGACAGTCGCAAAGTTCTTCTAAACTCTGAAAATATTATATTATATTTTTATTGATTTTTTCTCGCTGGTGCGCTACCTTCTATTTTCGTTTACAATCATTGTTTTATCTGTAATATGGCAATAAATAATGGCGAGACCCATTTAGCACCGCTATGCGCCGTTTTGGCGGTCAAGTTATGAGGATTCAATTTAACCTCAATACAATATTTTAATGCAATTAAAAGCGATTAGGTAATACGAAAGCAATGGACGGACTGCAACAGCTATGTTATCGATGGCGTGATTTCGTTATTAAAGGTACCATTTTTGTTCGGGCAGTTGAACATCATTAAAATTTTACAGTGTGAGTGAGACAGGTCGTTATTAAAATTTTATACTTACACGTGTCGCTCTTGATTTTATAATCGTAAAATAAATAAATTATAATGATTATATTTAATCGCTAATGACGGGCACTTGATACAGTACAGTTAAAATTTCATTGATTATGATTTATGAAACATCATACAAGTCAAAAGTCAAATATCTTATAACTTATTTGGTATCAGGTTACAAAATAAAAAAATTAAAATTTTCAAAGGGTAAATATTTTCTATTTGATTTTAAAAATTTGTATTTATTGCTTAATAAGTACAAATAAAAAAAAACAAGTCTATGACAACCTATATATTATCGATTATAGCCTATAATTATTTAAAATTAGTTCTGTTCTATAATATAAAATTAAAAAAATTAAAATTAATGTTAATATAATTTGCTTGTTTATCTCACGTTTTAACTTAACTGGAAAACACAAAATTTGTATTTGTACAGGTATAAGAGTTTGTATTTTTATTTTTAAGGTTTTTCTCGTGAGGGCAATTTTTATTAAATTTAAACACTTTATTTGTAAACGAACATCTGCTTTATAATATTAATGTTTTTTTTATGATTGCATATTTTGATGAAAATCGCTTATTTCAGTCAACTTTTAACAGTGGCTTAAATGGCTGTAAAATAAATAATATTTATTTTGTAGGCCTCCCAATATAATTATTATTAAACAAAATTGACCGTGCACTAAAATTAATTTGATCAAAGATTACACATAACCTTTTTAGTTTATTTGATTTTTTAGTCTAGATTTCAAATTCCTCAGTTTAAATTTACAAATACTTTAAGGAATAGCGCGTGTGCCGTCTGTTCAAGACTTTGTTCTTCTCTAATTTTTTTTCCATGACCTACACGGCTAGCTTTGACCTACACGATTTATCGTAAACCCCTTATTGACGGTTATTTTTAAAGGGTGTGACGTCCTCTTAACGTTTGGTTGACGGTAACCAGTCCGTAAAACTGATTAACCAAACAAAATAATCTCTTATATTCGCCTGATCAGGAAACAACACAAATGCGAGAAATAAAAAAAAAATCCATTACTAATACTTTACACGCACGTTTGTGTTGTTTTTCCTAATATATAAGTTTGAATAATCAGAAATCACTGCCATTGACGTAGATTGTGCTTGGCGACTAAGTCGTGTGCTGAATCTTAAACACATATAATTATACATATATACAAGACACTAGACAGAAACACCGTACGGTGTTTGACAACGGTTGATACGCACGACCGGCCGGATTTATTAGTTGTTCTTCAAACGTATTATAAACGAAAAAAAAAGTATCCAAGATTTTTAAGCCGTCTGGAAATTTTCGATGGAGTATGATAATTGATAATAAAACATCAAAGAGGTGTTTGATTTTTGTGAAATTTCAAATAAACGCTGGTATATAAAATGTATAAAAGGTCATTACTATTACGTTCGGCTTACATATTTTCTTTTGAACGCTTGACAAAATATTAATGAGAGTTATTTCGAACAAAATATGGTATGTTGTTCATAAAATTGAGTATTCTATTTGTCAAACTTTGAATATTATTTTTCACAGTATTTGAATAAAATATGTAAGGTGTTTGTGTTTGAACACCACAAAGGTGTTCAAACATAATGTTATTTCTAACTTGATATTTTTTTTTTTGTATTTCATTTTTTACACTTTTTTTTTTTCAAGCAAAATTACATAATCTAACCGTCTTTTAAAATTCTTATACATTGGCGGAAATCAGGGGAGGCTTGGGATACTATAATCCTTAAAACTTAAAATTAGTACTCTTTAAAATACCGACATTTATTTTTTAGTGAGAGATTTGTTGAAATAAAAATAAGTGTAGTACTAATTTCAAGTGTTAAGGTTTTTAGAATACCAAGGCCCCCTCCCTAATCTCCACAAATTTTCAAGACCTTTGTAGTTGGCGCAATTCAATATAGTATGATTATATTCTGAGTTTTCATTTTTTTATTTGAAGTTGTCTTTTATTTGAATCTTTTATGCGACCAATTAACGAATCTCATTTATACTAGTTTTCCGAATGTCACAAGATCATAAAATCTTAATAAAAAAAATACTAAAATGTATGTCCTTATCGGTTACTTTACTTTAGTTAGAGAGCAGTAAATAGGTACTTTATGTTCAGTCGTTTCAAAGTAATAGTAATTACTTCGATGGCTTACAGCTTCGCTTCGGCAGAACAATATAAAAAAGTTAAAATTAGTTTATAACATGAAAATTGTTAGATAATGTTAAAAATGTTAGATAATTATTTTGTTTTAAGCAATTCTGATTCTTTATTACATAATAAAATTCTTAAATTATGCAATTTTTATCTAGAAATTCGATGAAAAACAAAGTGGTATCTTTTAGTATTTTCAAATGTTTTCCATGATTTATTAGAGTAAAAACCTTGTTATCTAGCTTTTTTGATATTTTTATTGTGAGTTACATTAATGCTTTAGTTGAATGGAAAAAAATTGTATTTTCTCACTTATCAGTAGACCAACATGCATCATAATTGAATATAGTCGACCGGTTTATTATAGTATTGTCGACTTTGTGTTTTAAAATTATCATTGAGGATTTTTTTTATAATTTTCCAAAAAAAACTTGTACAAGTACCTTTAATACAATTTGCACGTGCTCAGGAGAACTATCGTATTGTCGGTATAATAGAGTTTGCCGTTTTGCGGGCGTGCCAAATTCGGATCTAATTTTAAAACGGCCCAGAGAGATACCGACAGGCAGACCGCTATGTTGACGGCAATTTTGTCAGGTGAGAACGCATTAAGTAAAAAATTAAGAACAGTAAGAATGATTAAAAACAATCACAATTATTTCACATGGCTTTTCTGCGTTCGACATTGAATGGTAATGTGTAAATCATTATAAGACAAGTGTCATGTTTTCCGTCTTTCACTAACATAGGTAATTGAACACTTATTGCTTACCCAATAGGTAACTATTGTAATTTATTGCGGTTTTTATGTAAAAAAATTAAACCATCAAAATCGTTGCTGTTTATTAGTTAATGCTCGTCACAGTTACAGTGACAGAAAATAATTACATAAATTACTATTAACCTTCTATCATCTAACACTCTACGACCCTGTTAAAATGTGCTCGCCGAATAAACATTTAAAAAAATTGGGATAATATTTTTGGTTTACTTAACTTATAGCTCAATACAATATGATTTCACAATTTTATAGTGCTAAAAGAATATTTTTTGTATTCGGCCTTTTTTTACACGGAATGAAGTGGAGGGTTTTTGTTGTGATGGTAATACATAAAAATAATATAAGTACTAGTTATTATTGTAAGATACGTTTTTTATTTGTATAAATGTATGTAATTATGGCTTATTTGTTATTTGAGCTTTGTCATTTGGACATTAAGTGGGCGGCGGGTTAGTTAAATGGTCCGAACAGTGGAATATCGCAATGAAAATGTATACATTATGTATAAATTACACGATTAGTCTTAAGGACTTCTTAAGTCTATTTGTGTTGACGACATAAGAAATTCACTACAATGGCGTCGGGAAGGTTATAGACCTGAGCGCTAAAATTATCTTTAACAAAAACGAAATAAATAAAAAGTTCCAACTAATTCTGAATAAAGTGGTTTTTTTGGGTCAGTCTAAACTATAATTATATATATATATATAAAATAATTGCTATATAATTGTATATTGCAAAATAAAAGTGTAATAACTGGTGTCAAAAAACATATGTCACAGTACAATCTATAGACATTCAAGTGTTCAACTACACTATTACCTGATTAATGTTATTCTAAAACTATAATTATACAATTTAATTAAGTGCTTGCTTAGTGGACGGCTACTATCATAATACCATGAGGTATATCAAATACATTAGTGTATATGTTTTGGGTGACACATGACAAAAAGTTCAGTTTAGGTTTTGCCTGTCACGCGATGACGAAACTGTGTACAAAGTAAAATAGACAGTAACAATAAACCCTTTATTCGCCCTGATAGCGTTTAATTTTCTAGTTAACTTTCCCTATATGACATTATATGTTTAGGGTGAGTAACTAAACTTTTACTTATGAACTGTCGCTATTGTGTATTCGGTAAATTACTAGCGTTAAATCGCTTACAAACGATTTTATATAAGTATTATATAAATGAAACGAAGGGGTTATCCTCGAACGAATCATTTTGATATTTTCTTTATGACTATATAGATACTCTTATATGTTATAAAAGCAATACGGCTGAGATTTATAGTTCATGTAAGTTGAGTTTAGGAAATGCATAATTGTGACAAATCGTGTTTAAATTTAGTGATTTTATATGGTATTGTTTTGTAGTTTATTCTTATTAGAGCTATACATGTTATGACATCCCCTCCTCCCCAAAAAAAAATTTAAAGGAGGAATACATTTATTGAACAAAATCAATAATTGTTGTGGACGTTTAACTAAATTGTGTTTTCTTTTTCAGATCAAAATTTGTTTACTGTATTCACGTTATGGATAAGTTGAATTAATCGATACCTACGAAGTTGAACAAACACTTTTAAAACTTGGTAATGTCAATAATATTATGTGTTGTTGTTGCTGTTAAAAGCTGCGTTCTTTATATATTATATTAGTCAGCAGTTTTTTTTTTCAGTTTGAAATGAGTCCAAACGCAACAGATTCAAGTGCGATTCTTAGAGAAAACGTGAACATTAAGAATGGTTGCTCGAACGGATGGTCCGGAAGTTTGGATTCCGACGAAAACCTGGGATGGAAGCACAACGCGTTATTCAAAGTCGACAAAATCGTGAACTTGGTCAAGCATTATGCTTTACGAGCATACATCATATTTTGGCGTGAGTGTAGAATTGCATGTAGACTTGCATTACTCGTCTATATGCGTATCATACATATTAAAAAAACAGCTATTACTTGTTTACTAATCAGATGAATTATCAATGGACCATCGAGTTAGAAGCAGTCCTTACAGTCCACCGCCGGCAGACGAAGTGATTCTGTCCAAAGACGACGTTTTCACTACCAGACGTCGCCGGTTGTTTTTCTTAACCATACACCTGGCGGCTTTAACCGGCATTTACTTTTGCGTGACTGGTCAAGTCAAGATGTACACAGTGTTATTTAGTGAGTGATTTCAACGGTTATAAGCGTGTAATCCTTTGACAATTCGGTTTACCGATAGTACACTGGTTACTGGTATACCTACTGGTTTACTTTTTTTAGTTGTAAATGACCGTCAATTTGCATCCTTTTAAAAACCAAAACAAACTATACGTCACAGCTTTTTGTTTAGTCAGTATTACACTAATGTACAATTGTGCATAATATTGTATACAAATTACAAGTATAAGATTACAATAAGTCCCTTTGTCTTATTGTTGTTGTGTGTTTTTTATTAGCGTTGGCGTTGGGCACCATGTCGTCGATTGGAGTGACCGCTGGGGCTCACAGGTTATGGTCTCATCATTCCTACAAGGCCAAGTGGCCTCTCCGCGTCATCTTAGCCCTTTTCCAGACCGTGGGTGTCCAGTACAGCATATACAATTGGGTCCGAGACCATCGGACACACCACAAGTACACGGATACAGACGCGGACCCACACAATTCCAACCGGGGATTTTTCTTTTCGCACGTCGGCTGGGCTGTGATGATGCCGCATCCGGCCTACGAGTCCAAGGTGTCCACTATCGACATGAGTGACATGGAGGCAGACTGGGTGGTCGCGTGGCAGTACAAGCTCTACGCTCCGCTGGCAGCTCTGCTCAGCTATGTGCTGCCCACTTTGTTGCCGTGGTGGTTGTGGGGAGAGAACTTGTTGGTAGCCCATTTTGTGGCCGCTCAATTCCGTCAAGTGCTGACATTGCACGGCACTTTTCTTATCAACAGCGCGGCCCATATGTGGGGCATAAAACCGTACGACAAGTGAGTTCAAAATCAAATAGTTTTCGGCGAGAGATACCGTTTGAACGACGATGATTGTGTGTAACAATGTGCTGCGAGATGGTGACGGATAGGAAAGCGGTTTTGTAGTATGAGGCGCACGAGGAGAAGATTGATCAGATAAACCTTTAAATGTCAGCTAGGGCATATTTTCATTATTAAAACAAAACAGGATTTCTTCGACTTTGTCTTTATATGTTATATATATATATATATATATATATTTTTTTTTTGCAGGAACATCAATCCCACCGAAAACATGCTAGTGTCCGTGGCCACGTTCGGAGACGGTTGGCATAATTACCACCATACATTCCCTTGGGACTATAAAAACGCCGAGCTGCTCGACTACAAGTTGAACCTGTCCACTGCGTTCATCGATCTGTTCGCTTTAATCGGCTGGGCGTACGACCTGAAGACCGTACCGACCGATTTGGTAGCTAAACGGGCTTTGAGGACTGGCGACGGTTCCAGGCCCCACGCCGACCAACATGGACCCCCCGAGCACGACCCTAAGACTCACGTTTTTGGATGGACTGATAACGACATGCCGGAAGACGACCGGAAAATGGCACAGATATACAAAAAATCGGATTAGTGCGATAGTTTTTTTTTTTTTTATAAATCCGATACCTTTCTAACGGACGTTATTTCATTTCCTTTCTTCTTGTACAGGCCAAACAAAAGCTTCCTGAGTCGGACGCTTTCAAATGGCAACAGCGGTGACGAAACCTCTGTTTTATTTGGAACTAGCCGACTCTGGAGGGCGATGGGAGACTAGGGGTCATCTGTGTCGATCGACCACTAATCCGTGTGATAAATACAATTTAGAAAATTGTTCTTAAAGACTGGCTTAATATTACAAAAAAAAAAAAAAATATGAAAGAGTGCGGTTCTAACGTATGCCGGAAACTGTATTATAGTAATAACATTCTATAGTATAACAACCTCTTAGTACCTCTACCTATTCAATTATATTCGACTGTTTGACGAATATTGTTTGTCTTGAACTTTTGAAAAATTCTTGAACTCAAGGATTCACATACCTAGAAAATATATTGGATTAGTTACTAATGTTAACCAGTAAAGACATAGTATAATATAATATGTATTATTATTGAATATTAATAGTAAGCTAAGTCATAAAATCCTTGATTTTCATTAACATGCGGCGACTTCAACGCCTTCGTTCGGCTGACCGGCTAGTTTCCTAGATCCGTTTAAACAACTATATCCTTGTTGAAAACAAAGAATAAGGACTTTTTTTCAAGAGTTGGATGGACCAAAAATATTTTAGTTTAAGTTTTTCGCCCTGGGCTGTTTACTTTAGACGACTTTAGCCCCAGTGCGTTGACACACGTATAATATAAGTAAACCATTGTAAATATAAACTCACAAAATTATCAAAATAATCTCTCTGGAATATTCTGTTGAATTTAGAAAAACGTCTCGTTTTTCCTTTTTGCCGTGTTACTGTACTATATGAATATTCATTAGTATGCAAGCGGTGTTGTATATAGACCTATAAATATATATATATATATATATATATATATATATATATATATTATTATTATTATATTATAATCTGAATAAAATAGTATTTTAAACGGAAATCCTATCCCGAGCACTTACAACTAAATAATAATTTTGCTAAATGTCTCTGTTATACACTTTGACGGGTCGTGATATCGCCGTATTAAGTACTCGAAACACAGTTCATACAGGGTGGTTATTTTGACGGATATGTGTTTTATAATATGGCGTACAGGGTCATATCAGAATCAGCTATGCACTGTGATACTCGGAAAAGACCACACGGCGTTTACGAAATTACGAACCCTCGAGACATCAAGACATGCAAATTATGTAAAATTATAAAAGTCTTGTTAAATAAATATATAGGTACGTTTGAATACTTCTATCGGGAATGTTCTGTGTCCTCTTGAAAATTTTGTACGATTATTTTAGGCAACATATCTTAATTATTACAAGTGACTTGAAATGGTTTATTATAAGGTTCTAAACGGTCGTTTAATTTTGAGACGGTTGTAGTTAGAAGTGTTATTAAAAAGTAACGTTGCTAGGATGTGTTAGTTATTAGCTCAAGATCAGTTCAAGATTCTTGATTAGAAAACAACGACATAAATCTGTTGTTTCCGGTAGTAGATAATTTTGATAAATCTCTAGAAGTAATTTCCCCTCAAATCTGCAGTAAAAAAAAAGCGCAACTACAAATTATAGATACTACTACTACTATTATTAAAGCATACCTGACGACCTAGCTTTCAATAACTATAGAATTTTACATTTGTATTATTTAAAAGTATATATATTAAAATGTCTATACAGTTTTACTATTAAGATCTACGTCATTGATTTATTTTAATCATATCAACAAATCATATTGTGTTATTGGGGACATCTACGCTTACGATAATATTATGTAATATTTATTTACTTATTTGGGAAAGATAACATTATAGTTTGTTATTTATAAGTTAGAGATTTCTAATTTAGCACTATTATCTTTGACCCATATTGACCACTGCCAGCCCAATAGATTAATTCGTGCACATTTTATTAATTCTGTATACAGTAGTATTTAAGTAAGTATTTTACAAAAAATGTAATCGCCATTGAAATCATTATAGTTGTATACATTTTTTTTTGTTTAGATAAATTGTAAAACCATTTTATAAATTATGATAAAAATAAATTATACTAGTATGTATTCATGGTTACAGTTTTAAAATAAAAATTAGGTACATTTTTTTACTAGGTCTAAGCTGTATAACATCCAGTTAATAAAACATTAAACTATATGTAAGCATGTAGTAGGTAATTTTTAGTTTATTATAGATTGTTTTAAATATAATTAATCACAATTGTAATAGAATTTACTTTCATTTTCTTACCTTATAAGAGGACTGGATACCGACTATTTGGATATCAATCTACGTTGATGTCATAAAGAAATCTGAAAACAGATTTGGATTCGTCTTAAAGTTACATTAGATCAATACAATTTTTTTAATTTTAACGCTTTCCAAATTGTATTTTTAAATTCAATTTTTTTTTTAAATTTTGAAATCCAATTTAAAGTGTTAAAATTTGAAATTAAAAAAAGTACACAAACCGATGTTAAGCATACTTTATAATGAATTAAAATTTGTTTTCTAATATGATGAGCAAAAAACGTCTAAATTCTTATGTTGAGCGTGAGATACCTACACAGAGACCGGAATAATCGGTATCCAATTCCTTTAACAACAAGCGTTTATTTTTTTTTCTTACAACTATTTTTTTTCTGGGAATATCCATTTAACTTTAGTGTAATATTAGGTATAACCTAGTCGTTGACGTATTGGCTAAAACTTATACTGGCTGTGCATATTAGTACCTACCAATTAATATTAATGTACAATTATACTAAGCATCGGAAATCGGTTGTAATATTGCCTTCTCTTACTAGACCTATGTTAAAATAATTATTCCTGAGTATTACGGGTATCAAGTTTTATTGTACACTCAATAAATAATACACTATATAATAGTTATTGTGTTTTTTAATTTTGATTACGATAATTAAGTAGATACTGTAATGGTTTCTTACCTTAAACACAAATTCACGTGGATGCGTTTGTCAGCCCAATAGTCCGTGAAAAACATATTTTGGTAGTTTCTATACCTATACACATATTATAATGGTATAGGATGTCTAGGATGTTTGTACATTGGCAGATCACATCTAAAAAAACTTACCAAAACTATTCAACTCATTTTCTGATTACTGTTGATCCATTTTTATTTTTTATAATCTGTTCTAAGGGTAATAAAGATTCTTCTCAATATTTTTTTAAAATAATTTATTTTGTGAGTACAGCTGACTTCTTGTATAACGACAAAAACAATTGATCTTAACCTAATTCTTAAATTATTTTTAAATGATTCAAGCTGTTGTACTTAACAACTTTTTTTTTTTTTTATAAATACTATAATGAATTTTAGGCTAACTTAAAATTTATAAAAATAAAAAAATAAGGTTAAAGTAGCTATAAAACCAACTAGTCTTAAACAGCACAGTATAAACGTAAACGAATTATAATGTAAACCAGCGCATCATAAATTAAGCGCATTGCAAAGTGCAAATTTCTAATAATCACATCTAAGAAAACGCTTTGGTACTAATCCTTGGATCTAGACCCTACATAATAATCGTCCAAGAACAAAACTTTGATCATAATTTAATAATTTGAATGAATTTGGACAAAGATATGTTATTTTGGTATCGGCAAAGGTTACCAGACAAATCGTTCATGGCAAAATGCTAAAACATTTTTCAAATCAAAACCTAAATTTAAAAAAAATGTACTTGGCTTTCCTGTCTCTCAAGTACAGATTTATAATTAAAATTCGTATCCGCATAGAATTTTAAATTCTTGATCGGTATCGAATATAACAAAAAAAGTCATCGGTTTTAGCAATTAAAATTAGATTATAACGAAATAGTAATTTTTTTAAGTGTTTCTAGATGTTTAAGGGTGGTTAAGTAAACTTTTTTAATTTTTACATCTCATATATTTAACAAAAAAACAAACCTAGAAACCATAATATTAACATTGTACATGGTACTTAAATTTACCACCAGATCGCAGTATCGGTCTCGATTTCGATATTTTGTAATAAATATAATATAATGTAAATAATTAGCTTTTTTTATGATAGTTACATTCTAATTTTAAGTATTTGATTATTTGGCATATACTTGAATAAATTAATGCGAATGATCATAATCGCAAATACATAAGCTTTCTCTGGGTAGGTATTTTTTTTATTTTAAGAGAGTTATTATAATAGAGGAAAAGGATATAATATGGATAGAAATAATTTATTAATTATTGCCAACCCTTACGAAAAGTATCATGATTTATTTTGCAATGAAAATCAATACATCAGCTTGGTTAAACAAATGGCTAATGTGTGATTTTTTTTTCGGCAAATAAAACTTGATATTTTTGTAAGAAACGTTGGTATATAATTAAATATGAGTATTCTGTATTACTTAATCAAATTCAAAATACTAATCTTTTGAGACTACTATTGTAACATTTATTTCTAATTGTTGGATGATTGGTACAATGTATATCTCCATAACTGTCCAAATTTTACAAAAATTAAATAAATATGTGTTTTTGTGACAATTGAAACATGGTGTAGTAGGATGTACTATGTAGAAAGAGTTTTACAAATTGTTTGGCTTGGAAGCTATAAATATATTGTTCGATACAATAAATAAATAAATAAATAAATAAATTAGTAAAGAATCGATGTATGATGTTCATCTTTGTAATCATATTTATTGCTGGTCTGATTTTCGGAACAGATGTTGTACGTAGGTATGCATCGATTTGTCGTCTTTTGAACTTTGTTTTTAATAATAGTGGCTTTGAGCTGAAAAAAATTATAATTTTAATTACCATTAGAACACTTTAAAACCATTTATATGACACACGGATGAACGGGTATTTATTTGTGTAACTCTAGAGCAGTATAATTCGAGCAGCAAGGTAAAATTGACACTTACTGAATGGCCTAATGGGATGATGACCCCACAAGTAGGTCCTCTTGATCGGAGACAGATAACTATCTCTCAAGTACGATTTTGGTCGTGAAGCGTGAGTCGTAACGCGTGGCACGAATGGTCTCAGACTTGGATATTCCCACCACCACGGATCCCTGACGTACCTGGACCTAGGTGTGTATACACTGGGTTCAAACATTTCAGACAGAGGTCGTCTCTTGATACCGCCGGTGGAAAATATAGGTAATCCTGATAACAGTAAAAATATGCACGTGAATCGATTGGACAAATTTCCTAACCTGACTATAGACTTAGAAAATTAATGTTTAACATAGACTATTAAAAATATAAACGTTTATGGTGTCAACTGTAATATATGCGTAGTATAATATTTCTTAAATAATGCCATCGTTAAAAGTGTAACGTACCTAACGGCTAAATGTAAATAACTTTCTTAATTCAATTTTTACAAAATATGGCAGAACTAACGTTGATGCCAACAGCCTCGTTTATATTTTTTCAAGTGTATAATATAAGAGTTAATGATATCGTGTTTGTAGCTAAAATCGACAGTTATTACCTGAGTAACTATACCCTTGGATAGGATGTGGCGGCAGAGACTTGGCACGTCTTTCTGGGAGAGAAAGTGGTTTCTTGGGTTCGTAGTACGCCGGGTGTTCTCCGGGGAATATATTGTTCAATTCTCTCATCCGGTCTAAATGATCCGTCCAGTCTTTCAGTGCTTTGAACGGTTCGTTGTGGTTGGGATCTGAATATGGAAAATTCGGACGTATTAAGAGTTTCGGTTTTGTTACTTTTACAAAAATATAAAGAAAAAGGAAACATTTTCTGGGTATACGTGCGCAAATAGGTTATTTGGAATAGAAGTTAGAACAAAAATGATAATTGTCAACGTACCTCGTTACTGTACAATATTTATATCTAGGACTCTTGATGATCATTAGGCTGTTATTTGAATTATTCGCGATCAAACAACAAATGCTTCATAAACGTTAATCACTCATATTTGTTTTAAAAAAAAGCTTCCGTAGGTTTAGAATGCGTGATTAAAATAACAAAACACTTTCGTATAAATTTTTATAAATAAGTCAATTGTTTAGTCAGATCACATCAGACCAGACCTAAGCAGTAGCGCCTATAGGAAGCTTTAGGTTTAACGACCTGATTATAATATGCTTGTACGCTCGTGTGTGTGGTACTTGGTTAACGTATAGAAAATACAGGTCCAACGATATTCCATTTGCCGATTGGTCGTGGAACGCTAGAACGGCTGAGGGTTGTATTTTTTGTTATATAAATGGAGAGTGTATAACGAAACAAAACATTGTATTTATAATAATTAATAATATATAGTATTGTATTTCAAAAAAAAAAAAAACTTCAATCATATAAACAAAAAAATATAATAAAGGCAACAAAAGTTGTGTACATAATAATACAAAACAGAAATCGGTATCGTTTATTATACTTTGATAGAGTATAAAATAGTATATATCAATCCAAACGCTACAATATGTTGTTTCCGTTTACACCTATTATATAATACAATTATTTATTACTATACGAGTGTCTAAACGAAATATAATAAGTAAAATAAATTAATTCATTTATATCCGCCGATATTTTCGCGAAACGATTGCCTTTTAAATAAAAATAAATAACAAGTGTGTTGCAAAATGCCGGAAATTGCGATGGACGACCGGCTGCGTTTTTTGTTGTTGATTTTTTAACGCTTAAGTAACGGATCTACAATAATATTTCGAACGCCGTGATTTAACAATATTGGGAAAACAAATTACAGGACAATTAAAGATACAAATATAATATTTTACAAGGGTCCAATCGTCGGTGTTGCGTTCGGACTGGACACCAGTTTTTTTTTATAATGAACTATATATTTTAATAGAAAGATAATATTTATTATTATAATGTTATTATTATTATTAATCGATTAGCTGTGGCGTCTGCTTAGCTGATTAAACATCGACATAGCAGCTGCAGCGGTGGCGGTAATATATATTTTTTTAAAAATTTTTTTACAGTTTTTGCTTTCCCGGTGTGTGACTTGAGCCGTCATCAGTACGTACCGTATCTCGGGACGTAGCGGTCCGAATGGTAGTTGTGAGGGTAAATGTTCCTGGGGGAGATTCCGTAAGTGTCCCGGGAGATTGGCAGATAACGGTATCCGGGAGTGTTGATTCTTTCGCCGGGGTTCACTGGGTCGTCGTAGATGGACTTGTAGCTCGGCCATGTCGGGTAGTCGGCGCTCAGGATCGGTCGAAAGATGCCCCTGCCCGGTGTGTGGTAGTGTGTCAGTTCCGGAGCCCTCATGTCGTCAGATCCTAAAAACCAAGGGAATAAAGCATAACTCGGTGTTGGATACCAAAGGACTTGAAATTTGTTACAATTAAGTTTTAAATAACGTTGAGCGAAAATTATTGTTCCTCTATTGCAACCATACTCTGTTCTTACAACCATACTTTTGGACTGTTGAAAAATCATACTCGTCTCGTGTTAATTGCATTAATTTATGCTCGCGCATTTATCGAAAACAATTGAATTCTATCTTAAGAGGATTGCACGCGGTCTGTTATTTTAAGGAGTTTTGTATAGGCAATATTTAAGAAAAAAGTGGTTTTAATAAATGTCGACCATGTTAATTCATTTTCCGGTTAGTTTGTATAAGCTTCAAGGTATTATTTTTAATTTAACAAATTTTGTTCTATGAGTAAATGCCATTTTGGCTTATTTAAGACCAAACGCAACGTCAAAAAGCAGACCACATGCAATCCTCTTAAATCAAAATTTAGAAAAAACAAAAATTAATTTAGTGAACGTCGTTTATTAATTACGCTTACACAATACTTTTATGTCACCATTAAGCTAGTTTACACCGGCCAAATAATGGCTTTATAAAGTCGCCGTCATAACGTGGTAATGTGTGCACTAAGTGTCTAGTTTTCCTGCCATAACCATAAACTAAACCGGCAGCTTAGTCGCTATTTTATAGATCGGTGAGTAATATTTCTATACATAGCTTTCGCCTTTTTTTGTGTACTTAAAATCAAAATTTGGCACGTTCCGCCTGATTTCATTATTTCGTACACACAGTAATGTACAATAAAATGAATTACACGCTACTCGATCGAAGACATTGCAATTATTATTACTATGATTATTCAATACTATCTGTACCTTTCAGTGCTCTGACATAGGATTGCCAGAATTTAGCTTTCCTCTGGATGGGCTCGTTCCTGCCAATCATATCGAGATGTTGCTTCAACATTTTCGTTTTTTTTTGTACTACTGCCGTCAAATAAATAAACAAATTAATTCCTGTAAACAAATAAAAATAAAAATCCAATAAAAAAAAATCCATGACCCTCTTCAACGGGACGACGGTTAAAGATATAGTGTTGCTGACACGCAATTACAATACTGTAGGGAACGAAGAAAACAATCAAAATGTAGTTTAGACTGACCGGTGTCTGCAAACTATTTCCTATAATCGAAATTCCATCAAAAAAATACTCGAAACACAAAGCTGTTGTCGGTCTCTTCAGAACTATTTTAGGTATGTGTTTATAATCAATCATTACTTTTATATAATGTTGTTAGTTATTACAAATTATTCTATAGTAAATCGCTGTAAGAGAATATAGCAGTAAGACCAGTAAAAATGTTTTATTTTGAAAACGACGTGTGAAAGAAAAATAATCTTAGGTAATCGTTGGTTAGAGTTGTCCGTGAATGTAACGCTGTTTAAGAAATTCACAAGGAGTACACGCGATTAAGTTACCTTTCAACAAGAAGTCAAACAATACAGTTCATCAGTCAGAGCACAAGTTCCAAGTGCAACGAAAACCACTACACTTTTGTGTGTTTTGTTTGTGTTGAATGAAGTACAGTATTTATAAATTAACATTCACACAATTTTAACAAATCAAACACAAAATGGGGGGGGGGAGTAGGGGGCAAGCACACGCACTAACAGACCGAGTGTATGGAATTGGCATCTGGAAACTGCTGGGGACGCTCGTGATTTCATGTGAGCTTTTTTTGGCATACACCGCTAGTGTCTTAATCTATTATTATACTATGATTTGCACGCATCTTTAAAAAACGGCGCGTGTTATTATTGAATAATAACCTTGGCGTATCTTCCCTCGCAATTCATTTTTAAGGTTTAAACCGAAATAAAAAACTACATACACTCTTTCGAAATAACTACAACAGTTTTATCCAGAATTAAAATTGAGTTGATGCTGCGTCTGAAATTTTGATTTTAATACTTCACTAACGTTTTAAGTACCTACCAACGGATATTGAAGTGATTGAAGTCACTAAAAATTGTGAGCAATAGAAAAAAAACATTTTAAAATCATTGTTACAAATTGAAGGTTGCGAGTTATCGCATACAATATATGAATCACTTACTCAAAAAAAGAAGGTTTATGCTTCAGTATGAAATATTGAAATTGAAAAATGATTTAATGGACGATTGACTATTCATAATGTGTAATTTGCAGCCGAACAATATGGATTTTATTGGGCTTGTGTACAAATAGATAACGAGGCTTGGCGCCAGTTCAAGTATTTTCCTTGAGAAAGGTTAGACCATCATCCGCCTGACGTTCAGCCGAGACCCATTTTTACACGCTATAATTTCAAAGATGATTTTTGAAATTTCAAGTACGTTTTCACAACGAAAAAAATAAAATAAATAGAAGATATTTTTACGAATTAAGTGACTGAACACGTATGTCTAATGCATTTCAGTTTGAAAACATCACTACAGTGCAGTAATAAGTGAAACTGAACATATTTTCACAATAATTTATGTAGAGAATAGGATTTCAGAAAACGGTAAGTTAACTGAGGACTGCAAAGTGCAAACCAAATTGTCAAAGGTCACACATTTCGCTCAAAGTGAAATACGACCAATTACATGATTGAGTTTCCTCTATAGCAAAGGGTCGACTTAGTTTGCACAGACAGATTCGTCCTCCCGTCTATTAATACCCGGCTTTGGCGATATTATTATTATTATTATTTATTTTAATACACAAATATATCAGACAGTATAGATATGTCGCACCGGTCAGAAAGCTACTACAGACGACTAATGGACCGTCGCCAAGACTTATAATAAACCAGAGGAATCCGGGCCAAACATCGTCCGTTTGCAGTTTGCTTATTTCGGACATACAATCGGACGGAAAGCCCACTGATCGAAAAATGGGAAAAGCCAAAGAACGACTTCATTTCAAACTAGGTCACAAGCACACAAAAAATAACTAGTAATTCAATAAAAAAAAAAAAAAAAATTGATAAAATATTTTCAAAAACGCAAACATAAATTGTTTGCAATAAAATAATTACAATTTTTAACTTGGTTTTCAGATAATTAATTAATTGTGATATGAAGGAAAGAAAAACTTATATAGTGACTTAGGTAATTCGTTTTCTAGAAAATTATTATTAATTAATTACTTCCAAAAACATAAACAATATTTTTTTCATATGTAATCTTATGCACTTGTACTCCTAAGTACTACGTAAAAAACCAGAGGGATGAAAATGCTGAAAAAGTGTTATTATCGAATAATATTAATCGAGTAATGAATATTTTAATAACTATGAAGATCATGGTAATATAATATTAATACAGACTACCTATAACTGTTTATTTTGTGTGCGTATATAATTTATGAATTATGTTAAGTTTGGGAAAATAAAATTATGAAAAAACTAAAAAGCAGTGTTAAATATTTTTGAAATTCATCTTTTTTTTAAAAACTTCTATAACGTATAAAACCAAAAAAAAATTTTAAAAACAATATCATATAAACACAACTGTTGTAAATTATATATTTGAATATTACCTGATCTGTGTCTTGTTGTCTCAGCCGGTCCCTTCGCGCCACTGAATTATAACGGTCGGCGGGCTGTATTTTCGGTCTCCTTCGCGATGGGCACCGCTAGAAATAGAAAAAGCTCAGCTCTGACGAAACACCTCCCACCCGGCCCCAAACCACACACGAGTGTGTTAATTTTGTTATATTATATATATATTTTAGTCTAAATTATTTTTTACCATTAACACATTCGTCTATGACGTCGGGTTGACCCTGTACCGGTGTTAAAAATTGCGCAGAAACACGCCGAACGCAAGTATCGACCCGGGAAAGTTGTAAAAAAGAAAAAGAAATGATAATAATAAAAAAAAAAATTATGTCCTAACTTCGACCTACTAACTATTGCGAAACATAAAATGCAGTCGACCCGAAACAATTTTCATTTACTACATACCTCCTACTAGAGCTTTTTTCCTAATACCATTGAGTATATACTCAATGCTAATACATACAATATAACGTGTTAAAGTTCATAAATTAAACTGTTTTTTTATGCTTAACCCTAGATTTTAAGACTTTTATTTGTCTTTCAATATCAAAGCTTAACATAATATAGATGAATCCCATACATCTCATGTTAGAGAACGCAAACGGTTATGTGGGTGTTACCATTTCAAAACTAGGGGTACTAACCTCAAAATTGTGTTATAAGCCAATACTTAACTTCATTAGTATTTAGTGTAGGATAAATTTGAGTTGTTTATTCTCAATGTCACAGTTCCAAAGAAAATTGATAACTAATTTGGTGTAAAGTATAAATATGACCCATAAGTGGTAGGTATAATGTACATTTGTTTGTGCGGTTTAAATTGTTTTTTATTTGTATTTGCTAGGTTTTATGATAACAATTAGATGCGCAAGTGTCATTTGTCATCTTTATAATAAGATATTTTATTAGTTTTTAATTATTATGGTGTAGGTACGTACAACGTGGATGAGTTGGGCAGTGTATTGCTATGTAGTCTATGGAGTATACCTATACCTGTTTAGTGTTTTGAGCACCAGTTTTCAGTATTAATTTGATACTTATATTCTCGATAAATGCACACTGTTCGTATAATTTTGGCCAGTGTTTTCTATTTAATCGGTTGTTTTACAGTTCAAATAAAAATTTGAAACAGTAACGTAATCGGCTACAAATTTTTAGGGTAGGGAAGGGCTTTAGCACTAGTAATAGGTTTGTTTGTAATTTGACCGAATACGCAATTTTCAACGTACTTTCATACATTCGATCGGTAACTTCTTTTGGCTATTTTTAACTTTGCACCTTAAACCTCTAACAGAAAAATAATTCTATATTCAATTTGCACGCCATGTTACAACATTATTAATGTATGTTAAATTTAAACGTGCTATAAGACCCAGCCAAGAGGGTGGGGGGATTCGACTTCCTACTTTAGTTGAGCAACTTGTGGCCCGAAATGTATTGCTAAATAGTGCAAATAGGAGGCCATTAACCATTTAACCAATTTTGTTCAAATAATAACTAAAGTGATCCCTAAGATCTTATGGATAGTGTGATCGAGTTTGTTTCGTATGGAACACTTTAATTTCTCCAAAATAATATCACAGATTAGATAAGATCTTATGGATAGTGTGATCGAGTTTGTTTCGTATGGAACACTTTAATTTCTCCAAAATAATATCACAGATTATATAAGATAAAAATTCTCTAACATATTATAATAATGCTACGTCGATACAGAATCATACATGTTGATAAAAGATTTTGATCAAGATTTGACTGATAAAGATTTTGTTCAATCAACTGCGATTTTTTAATTGGATTTACCTAATGCGTTATTTGCGGCGGTTAAGTATGTAAGTTGGACGTGTTGGTATATTTCGGTAGAGTAACCGCCTTCAAGTAAATAGTTCGTTAAAAAATAATGTATATAAATGAACCGATTAGGCGGTGTACCGAAATATTGGTATGACAATGGCGTATCGTAAATAGCTTCTTTGGAGCAAGGCGAAATATTGTGGCCTAGTCAGAAAGTGAAATACACATAATATTGGTTGTAATGCCAAAATTCTCATTTTCGTTTGTAAAAAAAATCACCGTGGGCGTATAAACAGATCGAACAAAGTTCATAGGATGAGTGGACACATTATTATTGTTATTTATATTATTTTCTATCGTTAAGTACAAAAATAGCTACTCTTATTGGCGTCGCCAATGTGTTTGGGGGTTTGTGCTGTCAGCGGTGTCTGATTCGCACTATGCACAACACAATATGCACGTGTTATAGTTAAAAAAAAACAATTTTCATAATGAACTTTAACAGTACTAAGTACCTATAAAGATATATACTTTTATATATATATATATATATATATACCTCTATGTTGTCAGTTAGCACTTCGCACTAAAAACTTTATCAATTAACTAATTTCCTGTGCACATATTTTCTAGCCACAAACACTGTAGTTTATAAAATATACTTATTGATTTTTGGAATTTGTTTTTAGCATCAGGGCGGGTTAATACAAAATAAACGAAAAGTATTTTGTGAAAAACCAGCGCATAATATAAACACTGTGCATTTTCAAAACGGATGCCAATCAAAATATTTTCTCCGCTGGCACACTAATGATTATTATTAATTGAAATCTAGCGCGTTTATTGTATTTATTATTGTATCTATTAATAGAATTTGTTTTTAATTGTACACCAAATTCGAAAATATTTAGATGAGTCATGTGATATTTAAAAAAAACTTTAAATAACATCAATATTGGTTTGAAGTCGGTAAAGTAAAAATAAAATCATAGTTCAATAATTGGAAGTAGACTATACTTCTGAAGAAAGTATCGCGAAGAAAACGAATTTTCGGAATGCACACAACACAAAAATAATAAAACTTTAGCCTTCAATTATTGCAAATTTTCTGTCACGGATATGTCAACAGAAATGTTTTGGTCTTTCGATGAATCGTCACAGTTCTTTTAATAGTCTGGTGGTGGTGCGAAAACCATTAGAATAATATTGTTCCGAGGTTTGTTTTATTTCGT